GACGGGACAAACAGAAAACAAACACCAAGATGATAGATTTAAACCCAATTATATCAATAATAATGAATATATATGGTGTAAACACTCCAATTAAAAGACAGAGATTGTCAGACTGGATAAAAAAAAAAAACACTCAAATATATAATGTCTACTAACTACATATAGCATAGGTTAAAACGAAAGGAAACTGGGGGGTACGCCTGGGTGGCTCAGTGGGTTAAATGTCTTGAATTCTGCTCAGGTCATGATCTCACAGTCCATGAGATTGAGTCCTGTGTCAGGCTCTGTGTTGACAGCTCAGAGCCTAGAGCCTGCTTCAGATTGTGTTTCCCTTTCTTTCTGCCCCTCCCCTACTTGTGTGCACACTCTCTCTCTTAAAAATAGACATAAAAAAAAAATGAAATAAATAAATAAATACAATACAATACAATACAATACAATACAATATAGGAAAGCCTGGGTGGCTCAGTTGGTTAAGTATCAGACTCTTGGTTTCAGCTCAGGTTGTGATTTCACAGTTCATGGGTTTGAGTCCCACATTGGGCTCCACACTGGCAGTGCAAAGCCTGTTTTAAGATTCTGTCTCCCTCTCTCTCTGCCCCCGGCCCCGACTTGTTCTCTATCTCTTTCTCTCAAAATAAATAAACATTTAAAAGTAAATGAACAGGGGTACTTGGGTGGCTCAGTCAGTTAAGCATCCAACTTCGACTCAGGTCATGATCTCACGGTATGTGAGTTCGAGCCCCGCATTGGGCTCTGTACTAAGCCTGGAGGCTGCTTCGGATTCTGTGTCTCCCTCTCTCTCTGCCCTTCCCCCACTCATGCTCTGTCTGTCTCTCAAAAATAAATAAATGTTAAAAAATAAATAAATAGATAGATAAAATGAAACGACAGAAAAAGATATACCACAGAAATGTTAATCATAAGAAAGCTGGGATGACTATATTTACATCAAACAAAATAGATGCCTGATTAGATCCTGGACTTGAAAAAAGACATTAGTACGACAATTGAAAAACTTTGAATGAGGTCTATAGATGAGTTAAAAGTTTTGTAACAATATCAATTTCCTGGTTTAATAATTGTACTGTGTATGATATTAACATCTGGAAAAACTGAGTCAAAGTTATATAGGAATTATCTATGTAAATTTTGCAACTTTTACATAAGTCTGTAATTATTACAAACTGAGAGTTAAAAATATTTTAAAAATTAAAAATCTCAGCTCTTTGAAAAACACTAATAACAAAATAAAAAGGCTGAAAGAATATTCACAATACATCTATTTGACAAAAATATGCTATATATTTGACTTATATAGACTTTTACTTATAATATATAGTAATAATAATACATAATATGCATAGAAAGCCATACTACTGAGCAACAAAATGAATAAACCACCAATAATATGGTATAACACAGGTGAATCTTGAAAACAAACTGTAGTGGGCGCCTGAGTGGCTCAGCTGGTTAAGTGTCAGACTCTTGGTTTTGGCTCAGGTCATGATCTCACAGTTTTGTGAGTTCAGGCTCCGTGTCGGGCTCTGCACTGGCAGCATGGAGCTTGCTTGGGATTCTCTGTCTCTCCTTCTCTCTCTGCCCCTCCCTGACTCATATTGTCTCTGTCTCTCTCAAAATAAATTTATAAGCT